TCTTACCTTGGCTAAGATCCTCGGATCAGGAGGCTGAGGCTAAGTGTAAACTTCACTAACATACAGCCAAGCTGTCCTTAATTTTGATAGCATTGCTTTGAGGTGGGCAAGCAAGAGGTAAAGACTTTATCCTAAAAGCAAATGAGAACACCAAGAAGATACTTCCTCAGCTGGCTGTCAGCAGATCAGAGCAACCTTCTAAAGTGTGCAGAAGTGGGATGACTACTCACTGAAATACACACAATCTGTGATTTCAGCAGTGAATTTGAGCAGCTGCTGTTTGTCAGAGAGGCGTCCCTCGGAGTGCAAACAACCCGTGAACTATCTAGGGTCACCACTAAGACAGGCTTGTTTCCTGGTAACGCAAAACAGCACCTGGCTTAAAGATCCACATGGGGAGAAGGTAACTGCGATACTGCATAATGTGCCTTGTAAGAAAAGCAATATAATACTTGGTTTTCCTTTGATTTCAAGAAGTGATTTTGTCTCTATCATGCTCTGCTTGGGGAGATCAATAAGCCAAGGTTCTGGATAAGCCTCTTTTTCCTTAGCATTTAAGGTTGTGTCCTCTAAGGCATCTACATGTGTGAGGCAAGAGCAGCTCCAGCAGTGCTGGACATAGAGTAACAGCAGTCAAGCAGAAAGAACTACCAGTTCTTGGGCTCCACTCAGAACTGCTTTGAGAGCTGGCAGGGCTCCTAGGTTCTCCCCTCTACCCTCGATTTTCCCCATCTCTTCTTGGTCTGCACAGTGCAGATACCTGAATACACCTGCACAAAAACGAACAGATTGTTCAGAGAAGATGCTGGCAAGAATTAAAAGGACACGTGTAAATATGCTGACCAAGGAGACAGCAAAGCACTGTAGGTGAACAGAAACACAACAGCCAGAAAAGAAATGTAGCTACTTTGAAGGCAAGATGCTTCCATGCTGCGGAAGAAGTATGAGACAGTATAACCTCTTGCATGAGATCTCTTTCTCTATACGCATACACATTGAATATCATTCAAAGGATATTTTAAGAATTCAATATAATTTATTCAAATTCGATAAATTATTTCAACAGACTGGTGTATGTTTTTTAACTAACATTGTGACATCACTAAATAAAACAATTCCTTAAGTTTACACGTATGTTTAAAGAAATATTGAACATGCTTCTAGACCTGTCCAATTCCTGCACAGTTTCACAGGATTAAAGTCAAATATATACATACATCCATTATCAAGTAATAAAAAACTTAGCTAAATTAAGGCATTTCAGTACTCGGGTAAAATGAGGGCATATCCAAGGAAACAGAAACAGGAAGGGAAGTCTAAGATGCCATGAATACCCATGATGAGTGCAACTCCAGGGAATCACTTATGAAGCACACTTGAACGACCTTAGCAGGAGATTACACTCTGAATTCCAGAGGAAGTTAGAATCTGACAGGGGAAATTCCTTCCCCACTCTGTGTTGAGCTCCACATTGCCTTGAGCAAGGGATTAGCCAGGAATCTAGAAATGACACTTTCTGGTATGCCTGAGCACATGTTCACAAGAATGTGAGTAGTAAGTACTTCAGAGAGTAACTGGCTACATCACCCATGGAGAAGTCAAGTCAAATTATAGAGCCTAAGCACCAGTAACTATTGTCTTAATGCAGAACTGCACATTTTATCAATACCTCCAGTCATTTTAATTCAATCACCTCCACCCTTCCCCAGCCCAACAATTTATCAAAGCTAGATGAAAGCATATCTTAATGATTAGGACCAAATCACGACACAGCTTTCTGCATAAGCCTTTCTGTTGTTTGTATTCTTAGCAGCTGCCTCAAGACCAATGTCTAGCCACTGAATATTTTCTTTCTTTTGCCAGTAAGTGAAACGGATCTGAATTGTCTTCCATTATCAGGGTGCAGCTACGCGTAGTGATGAAGTGACTGTTTTGTTTATTGAGAAACACTAAGGAGATTTAACTTGGGTCTGCATCATAGAAGTACTTTCCAAATACTTTGTTGCACATCTTCAAGTACAGGCACCAGAAACAGAACGCAGGATTCAAGCAAGATAACCTCCTTGCTTCTATTAATAGTCAAGGATCACATTCACTGCTGATAGCTGCAACAGCAGCTTTCTGTATATTGCTGTAACTCTAACACCCTTCCTGACTTCTCTGTAGGTATTTTGAGTCATTGTTTGCTATACAAATCTTGGTTTCTGTTTGCCAAGTGTATTTCACTGTGTATTAGGAATAAAAATACACAATGTCAGAAAACAAACAAATCACACACCCAAAGAATTAACCTCACTACAAACCCCACATAAAGTGAAACACTGTGCTTACATAAAAGGACAATTTATTAATTTATTAAGTCCAGGGTCTTTCCTAATCAGCACACACAAATAACTAACCTGCAAATGAGCCAGCATAAGAAGTCCTTCAGAGTTTGTTAGAAATACAGATATTTGCACAGCAAGTGACCTTCCTATACAAGCTAATATCCAATAAATAGTACCTGCAATTTGCCAGAAGACATTCACCCTCATCCTGCAATCAATCTCCCATATCTAACATCCAGATTTTCAGACTTTGTTATTTCCTGGCTTCAAAAACTGATACAAGTTCTTGGAGTTCTAGAGGCCTCTCAGATCAGGCAAGCAAACTTGTTTGGAGAAGGAACAATTTTTTCAACTGTAGCAGGGTTAATCTTACCAGCTCAGAGACAGTTAAGCCTCAGGCCAGAGGAGAGCTTTCCCTAGATAAGGTTTTTTTTCTACTAGGCTCCTCCTAAGTTTAGCTATGCACTGTGAATGTCACATGACTTACAAGAAAGTTGTTCCCCAGCATGGAAATGTCCTGTAATTTCTGAGTTCACAGGTTTCCAGCAACATGTTGGTAAATAAGAGAGGAAGAAACACACATTCATTATGCAGAACGAAAAGTTCTGTGGTTTTCGGGTTTTTTTGCATTACAATACTGAGGATTTTGTGGTTAAGACACTGATCCACAGCTTTAATGAAAAAACCCAACTAACCACAAAAAGTTCAGATCTTCAATCTGACAGACTGCATACACAAACACCAGGTGAATCTCTCTTTCTGGACCATCTAACTAGATGTAGCTATGCAATCACAGAATACGCCAAGTTGGAAGGGACCCACAGGGATCATTGACTCCAAACCCTAGCCCTGCACAGGACCATCCCCAAGAGTCACACCATGTCTCTGACAGTATTGTCCAAACACTTCTTAAGCTCTGTCAGGATTGGTGCTGTGATCACTTCCCTGGGGAGCCTGTTCCAGCATCCAACCACCCTCTGGGGGAAGAACATTTTTCTAATATCCATTCTAAACCTCTTCTGATACAACTTCAGGCCATTCCCTCGGGTCCTGTCACTGGTCACCACAGAGAAGAGATCACAAGGAAGTTGTGACTGCAATGAGGTCTCCCCTCAATTTCCTCCAGGCTGAACAGAAGAAGCGACCTCAGCCACTCCCCACACGGTTTCCCCTCAAGGCCCTTCACCACCTTCATTGCCCTCCTCCAGACGCTCTCCAATAGCTTAATATCCTTCTTATATTGTGGTGCCCAAATCTGCACACAATATTCAAGATGAGGCCACACCAATGCAGAGCAGAGCAGGACAATCCCTTCCCTCGACCAGCTGGCGATGCTTTGCCTGATGCCTCCCAGGACATGGTTGGCCCTCCTGGCTGCCAGGGCACTGCTGACTCATATTCCCCAAGTCCCTTTCCATTCCCTAACCTGTACAAACATCCAGGGTTGCCCCATGGCAGGTGTAGAATCCAGCACTTTTCCTTGTTGAAATTCATACAGTTGGTGACTGCCCAGTCCTCTCATTTGTCGAGGTCTCTCTGCAGGACCTCCCCGTCTTTGAGGGAGTCAACAGCTCCTCTGAGTTTTGTGTCATCTGCAAACTTGCTTAGTATCTCCTCCAGTTCTGCATCCAAGTAATTTATGAAGATGTTAGATGTTACATGTACGTATGTGTGCATACACAGGTATACGTGTATACACACACACACAAAACTATAGGCATAGAGCCACAAAAGTGGGGACAGAAACCACCACTTTCCCCAGTCAGCTTGAAAGGCAGTGGTAGTTTCAGCCTCCTGCCCAAAATAAAAATCAGATTTAAGAAGGATGCTGATGAATTTTTCACCAACTTTGTGAGTCTTCTATTTCAACCTTGCATCTCAATTATCTTTTCTAGTTACGATTACAGCCTGACCAAGATATTATGACATCTAGCGTGATCCCTTCCATTTTAATTTTTTTGGTTAGTCTCAAGCCAAAAGGAAGAAAGTTGATTTCTTAGGTAACTACTACGGGAAAACACAGAAAAAAATTCTTCATTCATCTATGCCAAGGAAACCCTAGCTTACAAAATTCATTATTATATTCTCTGAATATAAAGCAGGCAAAATCTCTAAGCTCCAGCCAGCTTCTACAGTGTAATCAATTTGAACAAATAACATATAACAAATATCTTAGGAATTTACCGAGAAAATAACAATGAAAATTTCTGCTGCAATGAGGGGGATCCAACAATTTACTAAGTGAAGTCTATAAGAAGTGCCATCCCTCCTCCTCTTCACTCAAGTGGGTTCTACTTTTCTGCTGATCGAAAAGCAGAGATTATTTATGAGGACCAGGTGAAGGTCATGTTATGTGATCTATTGCCTGTAAGTCTGAAGACAGACAGAGTTTCAACATGAAAACTGTGTACGAAGCAGTGTACTTCCAAAATTATTGTGAATCAATTTCTAGTATTGGCAAAAACCTCTTTCAAGTTATACTGCAAAAGTAACAATTAAGATTAGCAAATTGGTCAAAGAGTACACAAGATGACAAGGCTTTGGTATAGAAGATTCCTTTTAAAAAACAAAGCAGTTAAAATGAATGACCACTTGCCAGTTAATTTCCCTCTTAAAAGAATACCCCCTCCCCACCAAAATGAAAGGTTTCAGAAATACAGATGCATGAAAATCTAAAAACAATGTAGTAATATTTTCTCTATCATCTCAGAAACAGTCACTGTTCCCACCTGTAAAACTCTGCCTCTTGCAGACCTCCCCAGACAGCAACCCCTCAAGCAGTCTCCTCCCTCTTCAATGACTGGGTATGAGAAGTGAGCTACAAATTTCTTCCAGATGTATGCATTAAGTAGTGCTGATGAATTGTAATAATACACATACAACAGCCAAATACTGGAAGCTGCTATTGAAATGTCAGAAATAAAAGTCCCTGGATATTCCTGCCTATTCCTTCACATTAAAAGATACAACCTTGGTATTACACTCAGTTCTGTATAACCAGCCAAAGTGTTTACTGATGTTCTGTAAGCCTAACATTAGAACCTATGTACTTCAAAAAATGACAGCACAGAAAGTACACAGTCAAAGAAGCTCTTAAGTGTCCCCTGCTATCACAGTTTGTGGAGCCTGCTGGAACAGGTTTGTAAACAGAAGTTAAGAGATCAGGTAGAAGTTCTTATAGTAAGAGCACAGCTCCAAATATGAACAGCTGCCTCTGCTGAATCGAGTTCAAATTTACCCCAGATAATTTAAAAAGCAACAAATTGGCATCTGGGGCTTTCTAGGAGAAGGTTATAATTGTAGGTCTTCCAAAAAAAAAAAAAAAAATTTCCAAGAAAAACTGCAATACCAGCTGACCAGTCACTTCTGGGGATTAAAATCGTGAGTATGCAGTTCTTTGCTGCTGCTGCTGGGACGGCGGCTGTCCTTGCTGTTGCTGGAGACGGACCTGCTGGGAGTACGGATCCTCAAGAGATTTAACAAAAATAGTTGTTTTAGGCCCAGTTTTCCAGACAATACCATTTGAATCTATTACAGAGGACTCTACTGTGATGTTGTGGGTGCCAAGTATCACAAAGTTTAACAGAAACTGAGTGCTGAAGTAGTCGTTGTGTGGTTCCACCCTCTGCTCCATTTCATTGGTCATGTTGTCAATAGGAATCTGAGAACAGAGATGGTTAAAATGTCACTTCATATAAACCTGTCAAAAATAAGTTTTCTGCTCTCCATTTGAGGGAAAGAAAGGAAAAAAAGAGCAAATTTTGTCCTCAATTTTCCCAGACCAGTGCATGTTTGAGACAGCTTGACACGCCTTTTCATCCATGAGTTTTTATATCTACTCATGGAAGCAAGGTAGCCAACAAGTTTTTCTACCTGAGGTTCTAGTTTTCCACAGAGTAATGCAAGTCAAACATTACACACTTCCTAGTTCTGTTTTTCATAAGCAACAAACCTTCCCCTTTTCCCCCCCTCAAAAAACCCCAAACAAACAAACAAACAAAAACCCAACCCCAAAACCCACCAGAACAGGCCTTTCACCAAATACCACACATCAGCAGAACCTAAAATCCAGGCATGCAATCTTCGATAAAACTGTTGAGTTAAATTTAATATGTATCTCCTTAGATGCTCTTTAATTTGGACAGTCTGTCCTCATGATTTCCATAAACAAAAGAACCTTAAAATGATGATGAGTAAGTTCTAGAGACTATGTGGTAGAGAATAATCTGCTCCTGTTTTTTTTTGTCCTGTGGAGTTCCATATGATATATACCTAGGTTGAGTATTCCTGATCTCAAGCAGATGCCTAATGACTTGTTCTGAACATCACAAAGCCTCTTTCTTTGGAAGAAAAGTTGTTTTTAAAATGGCATTGGCATATAGCAGATTTGAAAATCCCAGATCCCTTCCAGGCGCTATGCCTGGCTCTGGCCAGCGCTCGAATGTCAACTGTCAGGAGTGAAAGAATAACAGAACCACCCATTTGTTTCAACCTGAAAATTCTGCTAACCAGAGTCAAACAAAAGAACATGAAAACACAGCAAAAGAGCTTCAGACTCCTCCTGGCTCTATTCTATCCATACCTTATAGTCTTGTCCAGATTTGCTCTGCAGCACCGAAGAGACATTTAGACAGACCGATTGGATTTTGCGGAAAAGGCCTGGTTTAGATCCATGCTGAACCACTCCTTCCACCTTTAGGGCCAATTGCTGATTGTTCTGTACTGCTATAGGTTCTGCTGGGTTCCTTGGAGATGGGGATAGAGCAAGCTGAAACACAAGTAAACAGACCAAAATGTAATTATAAGCCTCCAGAAAAGCAAACACAATAAAAGGATGAAACAGGACACCTTCTTATAGCAAAATTTCCAAGGAGAGGTTCATAAGAAAACCAGCAAATGGAAAAACAGATATTATCTGAGACCTTTTATTATATTAACTAATAAACATCAGCAGCAATACCAGATATTGTGTTTATATCAGTTTCATTTACTATACTTCCACAAAAGATGTGGAAAAAATCTTCCCCCAAAACAGCCACAAGTAAGTATATTAAGCTGAACAAAGAAGTGAAATGCAATAAGAATAAATATAAAAAAACTTAAGGCTTTCATTTTTCCCCCCAAAAAATGAGCACTTAAATAAAACAAAAAAAAATATGATCATAGTCATATATAGTCATTCTTGTCAGTCAGCTGATACATATCACAATTTTCTTCAAAATAGTAAACCTTGCTTTTTAAAGGAAAAGCTGCCTTCCTGGGACCAGAACATTATTTAGCTTTGCAGACTCAGAATCAAGAAAAATTCCAGCAACATTTTGCCTTTAAGGCTTTGCAACCAAAGAACTGAATCCTACTTATCGAAGTCCCGGCCTAGTGGTTCTCAAGGACCATACATGGTAGTATTCAATTTATTCCTAAGAGATAAACCCAAATGCTATTTGCAGTTAAGTATCTTCACTAAAGTACTGAAGCTTTGTGCCTTCAGTAGGGCTTTTCTCATGAAATAAAGACTCTGGAAAGAGAAATTTTAGGCCATATTTGAACAGTACTTACTTTGATACTTGTAGACTGCAGCTTTTGGAAAAAGTACCTTTGAAATGAAAGGGGCACCTTCAACAAGGCAATGACAGCATTGCACAGACAAGCTGTATGCTGCAAGAAACAGAGCCAGAACAATTGAGAAGAAAATACCATTCACAGCATAGGAAAAAGACACGTACTCGAGGTACTGAAACAGCAGTAATTTCCACTAGAAGTCCAAAAATATATTAATACAGTCACGGAATAACAGCCACTATGATGACAGTGATTACATTCAGCCTGTTTATGTTCTGCTTTTTATGAAGAAGGTATTCTGCTCTGGAAACAACAAGGAGGCCAAGAAAAAGAAAAATACAAATCTTTCCAGTCCTAGTGTTAGAGTCAGCAGAGCAGGATCTGCTTGAAACACTCGTACACAAAAACATCACACACAAACTCCCCTCCAAGCAAACAAGACTGGCATCTATCACAACTTAATACAATAATTAAGTTTTAAGCCTCTTGACCACTCTTTCTTTCCCTGCTGCACTATACCACCCTTCTGGCTCAGATGAACACAAGCAGTGTGTTCAGCACAAGCTGCTGAAGCCACGCAGCTGCCTTGGTACAGAGCCAGTGACAACTAAGTTTACAGGGTTTACCTTTGCTACCATTTACGGGACTCATTCTTCAATTCTATTTGGAATTGGTAAGGACTGTTGAATTTAGAAACAAGGCAAACAGAAGCCAGGCATGATAAATAAACTACCTGGTTCCCATTAACATGCACTTCAGTTTTATGATGTTCACTAACAGTAAAAGACAGAACCACTGCAGCCCTGTAAAGGGGCACATTATCACCTGGCTGTTTGCACTAAGCACACTTTACCTCGTGTCCTCTGATGACCTACACTGATAAGAGAAAGGATACATTCACAAAACACAGTATTGTGAATGTACAACAACCAACAGCTCTGGGACCAAAGCTAGGCTAGTGCTGGACCCTCCAGCACTGTGTGTGGTAGGGGGAGAATTCCTTCACAACAAGAGCATGAACAGAGAGAAAGCGCTTCAGTGTTTGAATGTGAGTGTGGCGAGAGGTCTGACAGAGTTGACAGTACTTTCAGTTATCTTATCAGCATCTGCTATGCTCTAAGTATCAGAATTTTTAAAAGATTATTTTTAATCATATCAGTAAGGTTACAGGTGTTCTATCAAAAACATTTTTGAAGTATTTTTGAAGTAGTGTGTCTTTGTAGAGACCATTTGTGCCAGTAAGAGGTTGTGCTAATTAACTGAGCGTGCTTTTTGGTTTCTTGGCCATATGCCCATAGATACATGGAGTTGCCAGGTGTTTAGAACCTTTGCCTACAGAATATACATTTAAAATAAAACTGTTACTTGCCAGGTAAGACACAGGAGCATACTTCCTGTTGAGGGATTCCACCTCCTCTAGTACATGATTAAATACAGACATCATTCTTCTTTCATATTCACTTTCAACATGAGCTGTTCCATTTGAGCTATATTCCTGGAAACTAAAAAAATAAAACTTTTTACTGTGTCTAACTAACTTTCCTCATCATAATCTGGAAGGCACACTACCAAACAGACCCAACAAGACCATCCTCTGTTACAACTTGAAATCCATTAAGGGATATCTTTCAAACTGTTTACTCTGTTTCTTTACTATTTTTTTCACTGTAAGACTTGCTCTTTACATTTAAACCCTTCTAAACTACAGCTTAGCCACCACTTTCTGTCCCCACCCTCTCTCACTCGAAGCAGTTACAGGTCTAACAGACTCAGCATGCCTATTTCCCCTGGCTTTTATTTAAGACTGCAGTGTTTATAACATTTTTAAACACAAAGAAAAGCAAGAATGCCAGTCAGAATTAAGACTAAACCTGGAAGTTTATAATCTCACGACTTGAATACAATTCCATCTCCTAGACACCCAGCTTCATACGAGTTTGATTAATACACCTTCTAAGCAACGCTTAATTCATAATGAGTAGTACAGTCACTTAGGGTGCTCACTTTTATTGCTCACTTTGTGATTTACAAAATCACTAAGAGGTTTTATCCACAGTATTTTCCATTTAATCTCAGCCTGGGAGTTTACAACAGTGATCCAATTCATGGGTACTTCAATGTGATTTTCTAGTGGACATAAGTTCACTGTTAGAAAAAGAATCAGAGGTGATGGATTTACATTAGAAATTTTAACTAATTTAGTGCATATATTTTCACAACTGTGAAGGAAGCTAAGGTGCACTCACAAGTGCAAGCAACAGGTAGAGGAGCTAACACAGGATGACACAAGATAAATGAGTTGGTTAAAGGAGAGATTAAAAGTCTTTTTTACTTTAATGCAAGACTATATTCAAGACAAGTCCAGTATAGTGCTCTCGAGTAAAATCAGTGCAAAATGCAGAACTCAAAACACAATCCCCAGCCTGCCAGGTATAGCACAGAAGCAATAGATCCTTAAGCCTGCCCAAAGTACAATTAGAAGGGTCTACTGAGAAACCTTTCCGAACATTCTTCCAATTCCAGCGCTTAAAGCTCCAAGGATTTAGAAATAATCAGAAAAGGAGCATGAAGTTAACTATCAAACCTACCTTGCAGATTCTGGATCCAAAATCAGAGCTTCTATTGCATGTGAAATCAAAAGGCAGCTCTGCTGTTGTCTGATATTAATACTAAGGAGTTGAAAGGCTTAAAAAGTTGGCACCTAAAACAAGAAATGCAGTGTATTTAGTAGCACTTTTCCTTGTTTCTCTAGCTTTTGTGAAGTAATCCTACAGTCATTACTTGTTAAGTAAACATGGAGCAAGAACTATGAAATTACCAAGTCTTGTGCTGCTCCAATTTTTGTGTAATAAGTTGTTCATAAAGTAATTACAAACAATAGTGTGGTAATGTTTATTTTCAAATAGGTTTAAGCAACTGGTACATAATTTTTATGTTATTAAGTGCTTCAAAATGACTTTGTGGCAGTCTAGAGAAAAGACGATTGTTAAGCTTCATGCTGTCTACATGAGAAGGCAAATGGACAAATTATAAGATATTAAAAGGATACAGTTCTACATTCCTTAGAGTAGCAGAGTCTGCATCAAAAGATGACTGATACAGATCTCCATACCGTGTAGCCAAGTTTCGGAATTCCTCCATTGAGTGTTTCATCTACAGAGACAATGTTACTAGTCAAAAACACCAGTCAAAGGAAAACAAACAAAACACCACACATTAAGAATACCAGTACACTATAACATACAACACTGAAGGAATAAGGTAACACACTCCACCAAAAAATATAAAGTTCTTGCTTCTTCACACAGATGAAAATTACCAAAATGACAGACTGTTATCCACGCATTAAACAGACATTTCTCCTGTAACAGAACACCAACATACACTCCTGGGGTTAAAAATAAAGCAAAACAAAAAAACCTCCAGCAACAACCTCCTCCATTCCCTACTGGTAAATCAAACTGCTTTAGCTTTCAAAGTCTACCCACTGATTCCTTCTTGTAGACTACATGCTTTTTAGAAGCAAACCATCTCGGTGTTTTTCATGGTATCGAGGCAGTTGCCAACACTCACCAAAAGGAGTTGCAGTACAATCCTAAGGTATATATATTCTTCTGCAGTGTAATCACAGTACCTGAGGTGTTTTAAGACAAGGTGTGAAAGGTCTTGCTGCGAGTTTGAGCGGCTCACTACATGCACATCCTTGGAAGCTGTGCGTGTGAGTGTACGAGAAAACATGCGCACACTCAGCTTCAGAGTATGACCCGTTACAGGCAGGTCATATTAACAGGGCAGGCATTTTTATAGCTACAGGTGAAAGCCAAGGCCCACTATTCAGCAAAACACTTCACTGCTACTTTTTGTTCTTCTGAAAGATATGACTGCTGAGAAGCAAAATTGGTACCCAAGTCCCAAACAGAACTGCGTGAGAGTGGAACAAGAACACGTGCCTGGTTAGAGATGCGTCCACACCTTTGGAGATCATTTCCTGATGTCATAGCAATCGTTGTGGCAATAGCTGGTGGTGGGCTTGTTTTTAGGCTGTTGCAGGTACAAATAAGTTGAGAAAAAGCTTGCAGAAGGTCAATCCTGAGTTTCACAAATCCACACTGAAAGCTCAGAGGATTAAGTGGAGTACTAGCAGCCTGAAACACAGTAATAGCAATGTTGGCAATCTAGGTCAAAAGCAAAAAATGATAAAATAACATTGCAGTGTCACTGAACTGTCTCATCAGACAACTAAAACCTAAAGTTCAAATTCTAAATGCTTTTTTTAAAACTACATTTAACAGGTTTGTTCAATTTAAATCATACTAAATATAAATGACACAGAAGTTACATAATTCCTAAGTCATATTGTAAGCATCCCACCCTTGTAATAAATGTGACTTAAGCTGTTACAATGCTATTAGGGCACATATTTCCTCTTTTTCCAAGGCCAAGTCATAAGGCTTCAAATGACATTAGCCCAGATAGTCTTTACTGTAAGAGAAAGTACATTGAACTGGATGTCAAACAGAAACACAAGGACTGAAAAAGTGATTCTCTACATCAGCCAGAAGAGAAAGAATTGGCTAAAGTTACCCAGAGCAAGAGGAAGGGGTGATAACCTTTGATTTTTTTGGACTGTGAAATGGATGGGAACATTATGAAAGCCCTGAACCTTGCATTTGATGAAGGCCAAGAGACAAGATCCAGGGATAACTAAGGACAGTAAATAACAGAACTCCAGGAGGGTAGACAAACCACTATTATTTAGAAAATACAGTTCTGTGAAACTTTGCTCCCTAAGAGCTTATATGACTTGTAGAAGCATCTGTGACAGCTTAGGACACCCAGGAGGGGCTAAATTTGAGCACTCAAGGTTTGATACTACTTAAGCCAAAAATCCACTACTTATTTTTCTTAAACTCTTGGATTTTGAGAAGAATACACTTTTTTCTTTGCAGAGGGGGAGGAAAGTCATCTGCAAAACAAAGCACTGGGACTTTCTCTTACTCAGAGAATGAAAGTATGTCAAATTCATGCATATCTTCCCCAGTGCTTCTTATTTCTCAGCATGTCACTTCTGAAAGCAAGAAGTTGTAAGCCATCCCAAAACCGTACTAAGAACCATTTCTTTGCTGGCAGAGAAACAGTTAACTAGTGTCTCACAAAACATCACGTCATCTGAGAACTGGCCCACTACTGATTAAAGTGAGGAAACATAGCTGACTGAAGCCACTTTAAACTATTGAGCTAGATTTCAACTGAAGAAATAAGATTATTTCATCACTTGAGCCACTCAGCCTCTCTTATCTATCACTTTGCTTTTGCACAAAAAAAATCCCTTTTGAATTGAAAACGTTCAGTTTATTCTGCAGGGGTAGTTTCAGAAAACCCTCTGTGGAAGAGGGTCCACTGCACTGTAATTGCTCTACAGAGACTACATGCTTTTAAAGAGAGTAAAGTACCAGTACTTGTATCTGAAAATCCAGACATTTTTAGTAGCACAAATGGGACTTGATTCTTGCAAATGGAAATACAAGCTTGTCTCATTAATACTGCAATTACCTTATCTGCTACTCATATAGCCATGGGCAATAAATGAGCCACAATTCTTTTTTAAAACTGACAGAGTTCTTTAGCTCAGCCAAGTTCTTTGAACACCATCACTTGCTATCAACATATTTGGAATTAGTGCCACTTAACCAATGGCTGTATGAATGCTTTGTTCAAGTTTTGTATCTTCTCTAGATTGCCAGCAGTGAAAAATAAGCACAAAGCTTCCAATGAGACACATGTTCCATGCCAGAAAGAGCAGGTCCTATTCAAACCTTTTGATAGCTCTACAAGCAAATACACAGCAAGATGGATGAGGACTGAGGTCAATATGCTCCATGACAAGTCCCTGTCCTCCCACATACAACTCTCATCCATAAAGTAACGGGACTACTTTCCCTCAAGCACACTAAGTCAGATGTAAGAACATTCTGCATGCAGCAATGCAAGACAGTTGTATGTGTATCAAGGAGGAATTGAGAAATTTTCCGACAAGATCAGACACTGTCTGAATGCTTCATCATTGCAAAACTGTGCTGACTAAACATCTGCAACAGATTTACTGGCAGTGTTTTCCAGCTACAAAGAGGAACAGCTACACAGGATTCATCATACACACCACTGGTTTGTGGTATCACCAGTGCTGAGTTGTGCTCTGCACTGAAACAGCAGAAACAGTAAATCTGAAGTCAGGGGGGAGAGACAGCAAGTCTTCAGCAGCAAGACTATCGTGCACTCTGTGCACTTTGCTCCCCTTTGAGTTCTACAGATGCAAACAGTGAGTGGCTCCTTTTACAGCTGATACACTCAAGCAGGTTGGGAAATTGTCCAGAATGATGCAACAAGTCAGCAACAACCAGCAATAAACCCAAATTTTCTCTCCTCTAACCCTACAAAACCTGTACTTTCTCCTCTGGACCACAACCACTCAAAAGGAAGGTACTGCACCCAGAAAAGCACTATGTGCAGCATGCAGGAAGCGAAGTCAGCAGAGACGAAGACAGGAACCCTTCAACAGAGAAACAGTCCCAAACTCTAGGGAGAGGGTAATTAAATTCCTGAATCACAGAATGACTTATTCAAGCAAGTTATTTTCCTGCCTGTATTAAATATTTACATCTAATTAGATGAGGTCCTCCCCTCAATGTCTTCTCCATGCTAGAGAAATCTTGAAATGCTGAATTAAAAGCCTTATTCACTCAGCCAACAGTTAAAGACAGACGCTTCAGGAATAATGGGTCTTTCAGAGGATAACAGTGTAAAATTTATGTCCTTTCTGCTTATTCAGGGACATTTTATTAATAAATAGTAATATCTGAACTTTATTAAACACTTATATATGAATTGTCATGACCCAGACAGTGCCGGTCACTAAAAAAAGAGAAAAAAAGCAGCTTCACTGAAGATACGCAAAGAAAACTGTCTGTAAAGATTTCTTCATGGAAACTAAAATACGAAATAAAGCATTGTGTGAAGCTGGATCATCTTTAGTTAAGAAGCAACTTCACAGTAAGAACTGAAGGTCCTTATTCATTAATGCTTTTTTTTGTTTACATTCACAGATGTGGTATTTTTACCACTTCAGAGAAGCAGAAAAGTATTTGCATAAAAGCAGGTACCATCTGAATTCTGCCAATTTGATGAAGATGAATTGTCTGCTCTCCTCTTTCTAAATTGGTGTTGCCTTGTTGTTAGGATTCCACAAGATCACACTGTCAAATACAAGGCAACATGAACTCAACAGGAGGGAGGAAGACAATTAAATTCTTCTCTATATTTTGAGAAGATAGCAGCCAATTTAGACAAATTCCCAGGTTTGACTATTACAATAGCTTTTATTCAGCCAAGACAAAGAGTGGAAAATTTTAAGTACTGTAACTTTAAACGAGATCTGTCACATATCATGTGATCTGATCAATGCAGGAAATGAGGGGTGGGGGGAAGAAAGAAAAAACAAAGTAAAATCTAGCTAATCACACTTGGCTGAGCTACAGGATCTTTTCTCTGAAGATGCAGTGTTACTTCTCTGCAGTCATCTCAAAAGGAGTCTGGCAGATGCTATACATCTTTTAAAACTTTTCAGAGATTTAAGAACAGAAACCAAACACATGCTGCAGTAGACAGAAACATCACCACTACAGTAGATGTGTGCTGACCGTCAGCGATGCTATTCCTTTGTGATAGGACTTTAAAGCTTCAGCAATGCAAGAAAGTGCTGAGCTGTAGTTGTCTTCCTGCAAACCTGTCAGACACTGTTCTGCATGGGAGAACTCCTTCAAGCTGTTCAGCCAGAAGTAGAAGTGTTCTGAAGCTACTTGAGTCAGCAGGCTTTGATACAGTTCTCTGGCCATGTCATGGTTGCCCTGTAATGAGAAGAATGTTTCTAAATGGGGATGTGAAAGAAGGCTGTGGATTTCTACAAAACAAATACAAATAACAAAACTGTAACATCTCCAGAACTACTCCTAGCTTAAAAATAGGACAGTGAAAGTTTTTTCAAACCTTTGATCGTGACAATCCTAATAAATAAAAGCACAAATCTTATTTTATGGAAATATCAGCCTGTATATACTAGTTATTTACACAAGATAATTCAATAAGATGAGAAACAAACATTGAAATTTACTTTCACCTCAGCATCTCATACTAGGTTCTGTGTAATTCTAATCCCAGCTGCTAATTTACTGAAGGGAAAAGGGAAACAGGATCTTTTTCTTCCTTTCTTCACATTGAAGAAAGAGAAGCACACATCAGGATGACCTGTATCATCTTCTAAAGAACAGTTAGACAATACAGATTAGGTATGTGCTCAAGAAAGTGCCAGGCCATTACTTACTTCCTTCTCAAATACTTCAAACACACAAGTGAAAAACCATTCTGATTGGATCAGTGTCCTAAATGGCATATTTCTGAATCAGCTTTCCAGGGAAGTAAGAGAGAAAGCGATTTCTACTCCCCACCCCCATTCATTTCCTCCTCCCAAGTCCTACCATTTTCCTTATTTTCTCATCCAATTCAAAGAAATCAATAGCATCCCTCCAAGCACAACAAACCATTTTCCTCCAGATATTTTCACTTACCATTCTGGAAGCCTGCCTGGCTATCCTGTAGGCTGTCCATCCATTGGAGGCGTTCTCAAGCTGCTGTTTGATAACAGTTTTGATTTCTGTGGACAAAGCTTTCTGACTGGAAACAAATATCACTGTGGCAAGAGAAACCTAATAGAGAGTGGTGGAGTGAGGGAGAAAGTTATATTTCAGTAACTAAAGAAAAGAAGAAAAAAGCCAATTCTGTTTTATTTTAGGCTCAAAACTACATTGAAGATTACATATAAATTTTAACTGCAAAATTTTTCTGAGTCCAATCTTTTAAGTAGTTACAGCCATCTCAGTATTTCTTGTAGATCAAAGTAACTTTCATTTAAAGAATCTTTACTCTCCCTTTTAACTGAGATATTTCAAATGCTCCAAATAAACTAACAGAAAGCTTGTAATTTCTTTTTTAAAATTCAAATTCTTTTCCAAATAGATGTGATGAGAGCATTTTTCTCACTTACAAGATATTAAGTCATTTTGCATCAGAGCACCATATATAAATGGAGCTAACTGCCATTTTGCCTATAACCATTACTTTAGAGATACCCCAATAATTTCAATAGCCAGGTTTGTCTAAGCAGTGCCACCTGCTGGAAAATTTAATGGAATACACTGCTTAGTTCAGCTCCATCTAGGAAATAGTTCTACACTAAACGCTGACGTATATAGTCAAAAGTTAAAACAAAACTGAAAATAGTGGCTGTAGATTGGCACATCAACCTGGACATAACAAATGTTTTAGCTGCCTTTTTAAATACAATTCATCTACAGTTGTTTATACAGACATTTATCTACAAGGGAGGCCTTACCAAAAGTTCCTGTTTCTTATCTGTGGCAGATTGTCCAATCAATTTATAGAGGTCCATGAGGTCTCCTAGGATCCCATCTGCTAGGACAGGCAGCTGCATGGCAATAGCTGCTAAACAGTGGCACATGAGAATCCTGGCATTGTCCTGGGCACTCTGCAGCTGCGTCAGCAGGGATTCAACCACTGACTGGCTCAGGTGAGGACGGCACTTGACCAGCTTCACCATACAAGTTAACGTGATCTGCAATTCACACATTCAACAGGTACAGTAAACACGATGTCTACTCAAAAATAAAAAAGCCAGGCACGCTTACTTATCTGCAAGTATGACTGCAGAAATATAGATCTGGCGTTTTCAAAACCATGTACTCTACAAAGGTAAGATTTTTCTAAGAGCCCAAGCCTTTGTCCCTGAGCTCATAGCACAAAATCACATCACATATTCAAGAAATGTTTATAGTCTTTGTCAGACCACCAGCCTTTACAGGTAAATAACTAGAAAAACTACTGACAGCAGTTTCTGAAGTGGGAAAATAAAAATAATAAAAGCCTTGTGATCATGTACGTTGCATCTCCATCCCCATAAAGCAAGTTCTCTCCAAGATCCTTTTGTCCTCCAGAGACACCTCCATCCATTCTTCATGTTTAATTACAGCTGTTCCTCTGAGAACAATTCACTTATTCTAGAGTTGAGAGATGGTGCACTATAGCTGTGCTCAGTTTCTCTAGAGCTCTGGACTCTGATTAGGGGCAAACCAGAAAAATCTTCATTTCCCTCCAGTTTGTTACGCTTCCACCAGAAAGGATCTGGTGCATATCAGCCACTCTGTTACACAAGATGTTACTGTAGCTTACAGCTGTGCTAGGGGAAGATAAGAGTAATGTCACCTTTAAGGTTGCTTGAGCTCCTGGACTGTCATCTTGACTACAAAGAACAAGAAGAGCTTCTAAGCCAAAAACTGCATCTTGCTCCAAAGGCAAAAGATCTACAAAAAGAAAAGGAGAGTTAGCTTGTTCTCTATTCTGTTTTCTTACCACAGTCAGTGTAATGCCTGCAGTGCTGTTGCAGTCATGACAGATAAATATCTCCCTAATACTTGGGTCTTACCTTACTTTAGAAACAAATCTGCCATCCCATGTCTCAGGTAACTATTCAGCAGTCACAGCAACTGTGATATTTGTAAAGCATGCATAAACCTATGGACTAAGGCTTCTAAATGCTCTGTTATTCTTTTGCAATGAATTTTGCGCAAACTGTTTTCAAAGGTTGACAAACAATTCACTGGTCTTACAGCAAAAGGGAAAACAAGCATTTATTTAGCACCAGTTCTACTATGCCCAGTAATTTTTTCTTAATTAGACAAAGATGGAATCTTCCCAATCATTCATAACATCATACAGAGTATTTTCTACTATTTTATAGTCCTTATTTTCCCTAACCAGTATGAAGGATCAGACAGATTTACAGACAGGTTCACAGACAGGACCAGTTAATACGTGTTAAGTGCATAAGCGTGATTGTAAACAGACCCACTTTGTTGCCCTTGCTTTCACTTACCTTTGTCCTGACAAGAGGCTGATATATTAGTCAGAATTCTCACACCATGAGCTGCAATGCCACGGTTAGTATGGTAACAGCACTCCTGTGCTAGTTTTACTAAATCAAATGATCTTGCAGTTGTAGCTGCTGTTCCTAAACAAAGACAAGGCAAACAGAACACAAAACTGCACAGTCCATAAACATACCATGTTAAAGATCCATCACAGATCTTTAAGTACATTTCTACGAAACAACTATATTGACTACAGATTTTTTTGTTATGTTTAAATGACAGGATGAAAGTACACTACAGCAGTTAGACACGCATAAGAAAGAACATTTGGGTCTAAAGGCTGATGTTTCAGGACTCAGAGAAATTTTCAGGACTCAGAGAAAATATTACGTCTGATTAAAAAAGCTGGTGAGCATATTAATTATTCAGACATGCCAGAATGACTGAAGAGAATGTATTTTTTTTTCCCATTTCTGCAGTTGATGTAGTTGGGCTTATAACACTCATTAGGGCTGTCTGGCTTTCAGGAAGAAAAAAGAAAACAGTATGATGATAATTCTAAGAACAAGATACCTTGAATCACTTTTAAATGTCTACTCTATTTCTCCAGAATATTGTCACAAGGCAGAAAGGTTCACCTGATATTGCTGCAGTTCATTGCCACAAGGGTGGCATAGCTTCACTGTACCTGGATAACATGCCAGCCCACCCTCACACCATGAAGCCTCCCTGCTACTCAAGAACTGTGCAAATCTATGGTTTCAAAGCACCTCAAGCAGAATGCAGGTCAGCCATTTGAGAGGCAACACACTGATCGTAAAATGAAGAAATGTTGAAGACTCAAAGGTAAAAACCCATTTCATATACTATAGGACCCAGAAAACAGAACAAAATCTGAGACCATGATTATTCAAGGGTATACAGCATCCTATTTTAAGTTTACATGTGATAAACACAGTCTGACTCTCAGCTAGTATTCTGAAGTTCAAAAATAGTTTAAGAATATGCTACAAAGTGTTTAGACGCAACTGATCATCAGTAGAAAACCAATCTACTAGAAATGCCAAAGATAACTATCTTTTCTTACCTGGAGCACTGCTGAAGTATTGTTTAATGGCAATGGTCCCAGATAATGTGGAAAGAACAGATAACATGCCCATTTTCAAGCTGTCGTAAGGAGTGTGAAGAGCAGATTCACAGAGTGCCTAAAGATCAGCAGGAAAAAAGATACAGAGATAAGAAGTCCCATAAGCAACCTGTAGTTCCACTTCTCTGAAAAGTTTTGAAAGTCAAAATTTTCCTACAGAAAATACTATACTAAAATCAAGCAACTGTTCTAGAAGACTGAGGATCTGGCTTGCAGAAAAGTGACAGCGGGTCTTTCTTATATGCTATGAAACATCAATTATAAGTCACTTATTAATTAAAAATCAGTGGCAAAAATATTATCAGGTCTCATTGATCGAATACTACACAAGATTTTAAGAGAGTTTCTCCTGTCTTAGAGGCATACTGATTATTTTGCCTTGTACCAATCTGCAGGGTTTTATGTAAACACACACCTCTGAAGAGCAAAGTTTCAAAAATCATTTCCTTTACCAGTACTGGTGTCCAGCAGAATACAGTTTAAGTTCCTTGATAAAAATACTAAAGTGTATTTTATTTTTAATTCAATTATAGTAGAATGTGCCATCATACTTTTGTGCCTTGCTTTTTTAGTCAACAGAGGGACAGTAATATGAGATACAAATGGAAAATATAAGTACATTCTGCCTCAGAGAGTGTCAAAGCTGAATGATAATATCCAGTAACTGAATAAAGAAAAACAACAACACAGAATTAGTTTCACAGGACAAAAAAACCTCAGTGGTGTTCTTATCAGGCATATGTATGGTGTAAGGGTTAAATTCTAAATACATCTGTAATTTGTACCAATTAGTACTTTGTTAATCCATTGAATAGTATGGCATCAGCAGACAGAGGAAGAGACAATGATTAGTGTTGAAAATGAGTCTCAATGTCTCCCAAGACACTGATGTTTTACTCCAGTGCTATTAGATTCCCTCTCAGAACTTTGAAGGATGCCAGGAGCACAGAATTAGCAGGATGGAGCACAGACTGCTGGTTACCTCTGCAGACAGAAGGACTGCTCTAGACATCAACAGCAGCAGCTTCTAAAGCTGATGTCTACAATTAGGAAGTCTCCACAACTCAAAGACCAAGCTTCCCATCTGACAGACTCAAAATGCTGAAGAAACTAACCAACTTTTGTTGGTAAAAAGGTACAAGAAGCAGGTCTTGCCACAAGAAAAGGAGAGTTTGTTCCAGTCCCTGTTTTATAAACATTACTAAGTCATTTAAATATATAGAGAACAAATTTCCCAACTATAAATGTTGACTTTATACTTCAGAAGGCAGAAAAATTCTTATTATTTCTGCACGCCATTCAGCAAGCAGATAATTCAGACAATTAGTCTTGTTTTAACCTAGCCACTGGTTTAGTTCTGATATCAAACTGCCACTGGTTTAGTTCTGACATCGATGGAACTTGTCCCTGCGCATTTCAAACATTGGGACATCTACTCAAAGACACTACGTGACAACAAAAGCCATGTTATCCATGTCTACTCCTGACCAGGCATAATGGTATAGAGTAGCATTTTGACTGCAAAGAATCCATAAAACAATCCATAAAACAGTTCCTTAAAAATACTTTTCTGGTATTAATATATTATGAAGGACAAACCAGTTCACTTAAACAAAAACCTCTGCACGCTCCAAATCATCATCTCTAAGAATCAAGGGCAAAGCAGAACATGCTTTATTTCTCACATAATTGTTAACAAAAACCCACACAGTTTTTCCTCCCAGCTGCCTTATGCTCCAACAACATAGAACAAAAGCGTAGCAAAAGCAAAGAAAAATGACCCAGAAAAAAGTAGAGCTGTAACCCTCTGCCATTAAGTTCTTGAAATATTTACTTTTCCATTAATCTAAGCCAAAGTTATTTTCTATAGTCATTTCTACCAGAAAAAGAGAAAGACGAGGAGGAAAAAAATATTCACATGCAACTGTGATTGAAAGAAGGCAGTGACAGTATCTACAATATAACAATAGTTTCCCCAAATAGCACAGGTGCACTATAAACACTGTCTAGGGTCTCATTCATACTATGAGAGTCACAAGGTTACTATTGAAAATAAGCCATTAATCCTAAGAAAGTAAGTCAAAATGACACTTGTCCTTTCAAGTATATCTTGCTGGATGACAGGCTTTGACAAATCCCAGAGACTCTGTGTTAATTAAAGCATTAATAATTACTCTATATTTTAAGATTAATATAAACATTCGCTCTCGTGTCTATTACCTCAGATCAGTTTGTCAGATGGAAAAGTTATTTCCTTACTGTAAAAAGGCCTACTACATTACACATACCTTTCCTCATCTTTAATACTTCAATTTTGATCCTTATGTGTCAACTTGTCCAATAAAGATATTCTACAAACTGCTCATTAAGACTTGGCTACTCTGCTTGGCACCTAACTTAAGGATATGGGGATGCATGTTCCTCCTTCCTTTACCTCCCAAATTGTTCTTCTAGAAAGAACCCTACAACTAATTGGAAAGTTTCATAATTAACTTTAGCTTAAAAATGTATAAACCTGAATATTTTCTCTGCTCCATGTATGTGGTGTCTTGTTGGCCAGCAACTTCAAATCCTGGATCGCAAGCCTCTTCACAGCCTTCCTGGGGTCATTTTTCAAGTACTGCAACAAAAGTTGGATCTACAACGAAATAAATTCATTGTTTAAGAGATATGCTACTAGAAGGAAGTCTTTCCAAAAGCACTCTTGAAGAAATATTGAGCATACTCAACCAAAATTAACTTGCCCTATCTGTCTGATTGCTTGCCACATGGCTGTGAAGCCACTGCAAGCTAAAACAGTCTGGCATTTTTTACCATCCAGCTCTCTTAGTTCATGTACCCTTCTCTACATAACCCTGCATACCTGAGAAGCCTCAAGATATGTTTCAATGCTCAGAAATACCATAAAACATCCCTGAGAAACTCAGTAAACACCTTATACTGTTGTAATTATGCTGCTAACCAGTATTCTGGGCATTTGATGCTAATTTGGGCATCTGTGTGATCTGCACTTAAGAGATAGCAAGACAGACATACCTTGTATGTCAGCAGTTGCAAAAACAACCCCCAAAACCCCAACCAAACAAAAACAATCCCTACCCACACCCTCTGAAGCATTTATCTCAATTTAAGCAACACTTGCCTGCATGTCCTTTATTGTGACCATTGACTGCAAATTTACAACCACGGAAAGCCAGGACATGAAAAAGCATGAACCTCCCCATCATGACTACATCAGTTTTAAGCAGTATTGGCTGCTGTTGTGCTGCAGAAATACAGCCCAAATCTCCATGCTTACTGCCATTTAAAAGAAAAAAAAAAGCAGCACATTAAGTGTTCTAATGCTGTTTCAGTAGACTGAGATTCGGTACTATCAAAAGCATCCTCTGAAATACAGAAATGAGCCATACCAAAAGTTTCAGACAGATCAATGCTATTAGTCTAACAGTAATAGATACCAGCTTTCCACAGCTGTACAGGACTGAAATAAAGCAAATAGACTTTCATGACTACTTTACAAGGATTAGTGAGATGAGTCTCAAGTGTCACTGTGTTCAGATCTGCTATATAAATCACATCCACAAAGCTCATTACCAGAGCATAAAAGCATTGTACTTTTCCATCACTGCTTTCCCATTACTTGGTGTATAGTCCTAAATTTAAACAACAGATTCAAATTCTCAAAGTTCTTCAAGAAATACATTTTAAATGCATTCCGTGCTATTGGAATATTCATTTGCTTGCATGAAAGAAAGACAAAAGGCACCCCCACAACACAAGGCAATATACAGCAGTGAAAAGTGAAGCCTGGCTTCTACAGCCACAATGAAATGTTTTCAGAAAGTCAGGGTGTTTGCTTTTCAGAATGCTGATCGATCCTAGCTGATTTCAATCCCAGTTGATTTAAAGAAAGACAGGTTATGATCTGTAAAAAAGGGTTAATGTATTTGATGGGGTTGTCTGGAAACAGAACCATCCAGAATTTGAACTTTTTTCAAATGAACTTGGTACTTAATGCATTAGGAAGAATTACCTGCTTAGGAATGTCAACCAAAGAAGAAGCAGCAAGCAGAGTAAAGGTGTGCAGAGTAACAATGACCATCTTGGTAGAGGGGTAGGATGTCACCAGCTGCTGGAGCAGCTGCCGGGAGCTGGAGGCCAAGCTGGCATCATGATGCATGTGCTGCAGAATAGGGATCAACTTCAACTTCAAATCCACGGGTGTGGCCAAACCTGCAACAAGGAAAAGAAACAGGCAGAGTGTCAGTCCTTGTACTGAGGGACACAATATGTCTACATTGCTATCAGTGCTGAATGCAGACTGTGCAGACACATGCACTGGATTCAAATAGCTCATCTCTGGGACAGGTGTGTAACAACAGCAGTATCAAGCACTTTCATGGCTGTTTGAGAAAGCTGCTCCTTGATTCAGTGCAGGTAGCACACATATTAACTCATCTGAAGCAACCTGTGAGAGTCTATGTAAGTTTATTCACCTACTGTAGATAAGCTTTTATTCTGTACCAAACAGGTGCTTCGAGAACTTAGATTTTAAGAGGACACAAGAGCCAGACATTAGATTACTGGTTAGCTAATTTAATTTAAAAATTGGACTTATCTGAGTACAAGGGCAACAGCATTCTGGTATCTAATATGTAAATATGAATAATAAAGAATTTTCAGAGAAATTAAAGCTTTTCCCTTTTATCATTCAATATATACATGTACCTTGAATCATCTCACTGATTTTATTACATATTCCGACAGCAAAATCCCTGTAGAGAAAAGAAAGTACCAGGTGAAATGAAAAATCAAAAATTAAGTAATGAAAATTCTAAAAATCAGATTTAAAAATCAACTGAACGTTGTGTTTTAACCATAAAAACCTTCCCCAAAAAGTGCCTGCCAAGACCTAAGTCTTTTCAGAAACTCTGCACAAGGGGATGATCAAATGATAAAATGGAAGCTTTCAAAAAAATGTGACAAAATGACAAGCAGCACTACATTTTGGTCTCTAATATAATTTCTGTAAAATAATCCTTGATTAAAGCTGCTATTCCACTTTGAATTTTCATATTTATGAGCTTTCCATTTTTGAAAAAACTAATGTTAAACTTGTATTCAGGTTTCTCTACAATACTATTATTGCACATAATTATATGTTTTGCTATAAATGACATTGTTATCACTAGAGAAGGAAATAGTAAAGTTTGTGAATGAGTTAATGAAATTAAAAAAAATCTTACTTAGACTGTGCAGAAAAGTTGGCAGCAGCAAATATAGCAGCTTCCACTTCCACATTATCATGGGAATCCAAACTCTGACGAATACTGTGATGCGCATTCTTCCTTTCTGGAATAATAGATGCCATGCTGCCCAACATCCTACAGAAATCAATCACAGAAAAATCAGGAAGAACGATGTTCAAGAAGAAACGTAAGATGAAACCAAACAGAAATGTAAAATGACTGGTTAAACCACTATTTTTTTCTATAAGTATGTGTGCTCTTCCACACCTATTACAGAAACAAGCAAATGCTAAAAGTTGGCATATAATTAAATGGTGACAAATTTTGTCATGAGGGTTATGTCAGTGGTTTGATAAAAACTTAATTATATTATGATACCTCTTATCTTGAAATTGTACAGTGAGAAACTTACCAAAAATTCTTTTAAAATTAAGAGTGCACTATGGCACCAGGAATAAGCATTTTTGAGATGCTTTTACATTCAAGCTCTGATATTAATACAACAGATTTAATGCTAAAATGTACTGATGGCTATTTTCAGAAACACACAAAGAACACCATGAGATATAAATTCAAAAATGTGGTAGTCTAGGGCGATATAAAAACACATTTAGAGAATTACTAATTTAATTTCTACTTTTTCTATCCCTCTTCCTAATTAAGACTGCAGAAGTAAGTACAGAAGTAAATGTCTGAACAGTCATAAATTTTAACCACATGCTATGAAAGAGAAGTTTCTACAGTAGTTACTATGATCAAGTAATCCAATATCTGACTTTCATAATTTGTTTCTAAGATCTTTCACTGATGTGGGATAAGGTTATTAGTAGGAATAGTGCAATACCTTTTGTGTAACTGCTAACAAAGTTGCAAGTCAATTTATACTTTTTTATGAAAAGATACCCTTCAGACACATTTAGCATAATCCAGTTAAAAGAAAAAGGAATGCAGGATGGTAACATTGATGGTAATTTTAGCAAGAGTTCTGTGCAAGTATTTACACACACTTATCTAGCAATAAAATTTCACAAAGTTTTGGTTTAGCACATCTTTCTTTCTACATATTCTTTCTTACTGACACTATTCAAGAAGGACAAAACCAAATCAATAGAAGATTTTAATCTGGAACTGCTGAACCAACAGCCATTTTGATGTTTCCCTTGATGCATCCTGTGAATTTATTAGTAATTTAAGTATTTTTTCAAACAGACTGGATTCCTGGGACTTCTATCAGTCTGCTAACTCTCAATGCCAGCCAACAACTGCAAGTATATGTTAGAATACTACAGTGGAACTGCAAGAAAACATGTAGTCCCATTGTATTTAACGATTTCTGAGACCAGAGCATGAAAGCACAATCTCAAATGAAATATCAAAAGAAAAAAGAAGTGGACATATGAGCTAATCAATCAAACCCATTAATGCCTCCCATCTTTCAACAGTGAAAGTAGTAACAGTTCTAAATGGAGAGAAAAAAAGAACATAAAGGGAAAAAGAGAAGTGCTCTTCACATTCACATTCACCTGCACAGGGGTTGGAAGATGCATGGAAGATGCACAGAAGATGCACTTAAGATGAGGATGTTGGACAGTGCTGGAGACACAGACACCAAAGCAGCAGGACAATGACATTAAAGACAGGTTTATTTTATTTGTTTTCCCATTTGATTCCTAGGAAGCCCAAAGCAATCAACAATACAACAGTACTTCCTTAGAAGTTATTGATCAGACCAACAAGCAGTAAACTTCTAGGACAATGATGAATGAAAAACAGGTGCAAGTATAACAAAGTTCGCATAAGCTTTGGTTATTAGTTAACAAAAATTATTTTGACATGCAAGGAAGCACTTTCCTTTTGGTCCTGGTCTAAATATATCATAGGCAATATATGATATATTGCATATGGCTACTGTCTGGGTTATCCATACAACAAGGTTCAGTTTTCTTCTTGTGAGTACACAAAATTTCAACACTACAAATTCTGTTTTACCTGAAGCCATCCACAAAATTCTCACCATCGTACATGATTAATAACCTTGTTCTTCTGATCACAGATCTTTATCATTCACCCCCTTTAAAGACAGATGTCTTTGCTTTTAACTCCATGAGCAATGTATAAAAAGCCTTCTATATTTCATTCACATAATCGTAGAACAGTTTGGTTTGGAAGGGACCTTAAAGATTATCTGGTTCCAACGCACCTGACATGGGCAGGAACACCTGCCACTAGACCAGCTTGCTCAAAGCCCCATCCAACCTCACCCTGAACACTTCCAGGGATGAGGCATCCACAGCTTCTCTGGGCAACCTGTTCCAGTGCCTCACAACCCTCCCAGAAAAGAATTTCTTCCTAATAGCTAATGTAAATCTATTCTTTCAGTTTGAAGCCATTCCTCCTTGTTCTCTCACTACGTAGACGCCCTTGTGAAAGGTCCCTCACCATCTGTCTTGTAGTTTCCCTTCAGATACCAGAAGGCTGCAAATATGTCATTCCAAAGCCTTCTCTTCTCCAGGCTGAACAACCCCAATTCTCTCACCCTTTCCTTGTAGGGGAGGTGCTCCATCCCTCTAATCATCTCGGTGGCCTCCTCTGGACTTTCTCCAACAGGTCAATGTCCTTCCTGTGCTGGGGAACCCAGAGCTGCACGCAGTGCAGTGCTCAAAGTGAAATCTCACCAGAGTAGAGTAGAGGGGCAACATTCCCTCCCTCAACCTGCTGGCCAGGCTGCTTTGGATGCAGCCCAGGACACGACTGGGTTTCTGGGCTGTCAATGCACACTGCTGGGTCATGTCCAGCTTCTCATCCACCAGCACCCCCAAGTCCTTCTCGGCAGGGTTGCTCTCACCCCCTTCATTCCCCAGCCTGTGTTGATACCGGTGGTTGCCCCGGCTCAGGTGCAGCACCTTGCACTTGGCCTTGTTGTTCCAGTCGAGCACACTGATAATTAGCTACAGATATGAAGTAAATTAGGATCATTTATGTAATACATACCGGAGTGTAATAGCCCGAGCAACTGGATCATTGCTATGAATTACTGAGAAAACTCTTTTGACAAATTCATCCACATTTAGGATCTTCTCCAAGTGCTTCTCACTCTGTTGAGTAACTTTCAGCACACACAACCTCAAGAAGTTGTTCCTATTAGAAAATACACAAGTTTCTTTGTCAGGCTATTTTATAACAAAAATTCAAGGACTTGAAAACAAAATTATTTTAAAACAACTTCTGAAAGAAAATTAAAACGAGGAAATGTCTACGTTTCAGAAATGTTTGAGTAGACTGATGTAATACAAAAGAGACTATTAGTACACTAGTGTTTTATTTTCTAGTTCTGGTAGTGTCAGATTTAGGCCCAATTCCAGGGAAATGAACCAGCTGGCACCAGTGAGGAGGGGTGTAAGCAAATGCCTGTTTTGTGCACACTTAGGGATCCAGTTCTTCTAGAAAAACACATCCAAGACTAAGGCAAGAGAACTTAATTGCCAATGTCAGGTGTGAGTGAATTTCTTTCCCTTCTTGGAGACAGCAGTGAAGATTCCACATCAACATTTAACTTTGTAACTTATTCCAAAGTAGCTCCAATTCCATTAGAAACATCACTTAGACAGCAGACACCTGGAAAAGCTATACTTTGAGCTTTGTTATTAACATTGCATGACTTAGAGACAAAATTTGCACACGTGACCATTCATCTTTTTACGAATTACAAATCTGAATGTGCCTGTGAAGCAGACCTTACATCAGTGAACTTATATCAGTCAGGAAGGGAATCCTCAAATCAGGACAGATGAAAAGGAACTCTGTCATTGATCACTAACAGCCACTTAAACCCACGAAAGATGGGGAAAGCAAACTTCAATCGAGCACAATCTGTCCCCAAGAGTGAGTCCTACCAACCGGAGATTTGAATGGAGAGAAACTCACCGATGGCACTTACCCCACTCTGAAGACATCAGCCAGCTTTAGGAACGCCGAATTGATGAGAATAGGGAAGGGATATTTCTGGAAGAGCCTGGGAAAACGAACGACGGCTTCGCACTGCTCCCCCAGTTTCCCAGACCTGAGGCCTAAGCGAGACAACAGGAATTACCGCAGATACCTCCAGACCCAGATCCTCCCTCCGCCCTCGCTGTGGACAAAGCGGCACAGCGCCAAGCTCCCACCCCGGCCCTGCGACAACCCCGAGCCCGCGCGGCCTCACCTTTGTCCAGCTCCATCAGTGCGGAGTTGGCGTCCAGCTCCTGCTCTCCATAGCCCGCGTCGGCCAGGAACGACTTGGCACTGGACGCCATTCCTGCCCCTCGCCGCCGGCCCCGCGCACGCGCACTCGCACTCCCGTCGCCGCGCCATTCCCGCGCAGGCGCGTGCCCGCCCCACCCACTGCAGCCGCGGGAAAGGGCAGCCCGGAAGCCCCGCCCCCCGCACCGCCAACTCCCAATCAGAGGAGGAGGGCGCGGCGCCTCGCTCTTCCCGCCGGCCAATGAGAGCGCGCCGCGGGTTTGGCGGGCCGGTCGTTTTGGCGGGAGTTGTATTGGCGCGCACCGGCCGTGTCCGCCCGGCCATGCTGTGCCGCGCGCTGCTCCGCCGCGCCGCCACCGCCACCACCGACCGTGGGTACCGCGGCACGACCGCTCCTCATCTTGACCTGCCCCCGCGCCCCTCCACAGCCCCTGCGGCGGCCTCGGGGCTCCTGGCGCCCGAGCCGGCTGTGTCTGGTGCGCTTACGGTCCGTCTGTCCCGTTGCAGGTCGTTCCCCGCCGCTTCCCCTGCAGCATCTCTTAGATGGCTACCAGTGCAGCCAGGAAGATGACCACCTGTCTTATGGGGAAACGGGGTTGCCGGTCCCTCCTTTCGGCTGCACCTTTTCTACAGGTAAAGTCACCTTCTGAAAACCCTTTTGGAGGCCAGGGTGTGGGCACTGCTGTCAGCTTTTTTTGTTGTTCCTGTTTGATTCTGTCTCATGATTTGGTTTCAGACTTTTCTTGTTTTAAAGTGAGCTGGTAAAAGTGCACTTGCTTCTAGATGTGATATACATTGGATCGTGGTGCTTCTATATATACTGATGGAAAGTATTCCCTTAAAGAAGCAACTACAAAGCATTTATTTTAATACCTCTTTGTTTCAGCTGTGTCTGTTTCAAGGTATGTCCTCTTGGTGACAGTGCGAGGCTACATAGGTGAAAAACTGGGGTTTGTTCAAAATAGATAAAAGATGCATGGAGAACAGTTTGTAGAAACCAAAGGTGGATGCATGTCACCAGGCTGTTAACACACAGCATTTCTCCACGGTGAGCATGTAGTGGAGTAAACATGGAAGCTCCTGGATTTTTAGGGCAAAACTCTTTCATTCTTAGTACTCTGGTTTCAACGTGAGCTCTTACGTTTTTCCAAGGCAGCTTCCTGCTTTTCCAACTCAGATCATGAAAACTGCTGGAGGCTGTAGATGATACATAGCATAGACAGAGAAAACTATAACTAGAGAACGATTATAACTGGTGAAAGAGGCCACTATCTCAAAAGTTGCTCCTGGAGCCATTTGGTTGCCCATGTGCAGTTACTCCTGAATGGAACGTCTAGAAAAAATGCTTGCCAATATTTCTGCATTTTGAATATTTAAGTTGCTATGTAAATACTGTTTATTTTGCAGCTATCTATTTGCTGTGTACTCTATTTAAAGAGTCTGTGTCCCTTCACAAAGAACAGGGGTATGAGTATGAATTAGCTACATAATATATTATGTTTCAATTTATTTTCAGCACCGAATTGGGAGCATGTACTAGCAGTTACAAATGAAGAAGGATTTGTTAGACTCTATGATACTGAAGCTCAAGCTACCAGGAAACTCATCTTTAAAGGTAAGTGTTGAGTAGAAGGTAATCTTCATTTGGTATAACAAGTATGGGATTTACTGGAATCAAAGTAAGCTTTTTGCAAGTCATTAAAACATAAATGTAGGCAGTATTTAAATCCTTTCACATACTTTGCTGAGTCTTCTTAACAGAGTAGGAGCATGAATGTGCTCTTACAACAGCAGTAGTAGGTGAATTGTTCTATGTTGTTTTTCATGCCTAAGCAAGCTGTTGACAAGATTTCTGATTTCAGTGTCTGATGTCCTTTAGTCTTCTGCAAAATATTGTGCTGCAATGCACTGAACTAATCTTGACTTTTGTTTTCTTGTTAGAATGGCAGGCTCACTCAAATGCTGTATTTGACCTTGCCTGGGTACCAGGGGAACACAGGATTGTAAGCAGTCTTTTGCCTTCTAACTGTTTTTAATGCTTTGGCGACTGTGTACAGAAAAAGACTAAAGCTTTTTATTTTTGCTTCTGAAGGTCACTGCTTCAGGAGATCAGACAGCCAAGGTGTGGGATGTGAGAGCCGGCGAGCTTCTTGGCATATGCAAAGGTCATCAGTGTAGCCTCAAGTCAGTTGCTTTTTCTAGATTTGAGAAAGGTAAATGTTGATATTCCCTATTTGTTCCTCTTTCTCTCTGGCAAAGTACTTTAAGAGCTAAAAAAGGGCTTTGGAAACTGACAGGTACAGATATCACAGGCCTACTGAGGAGGGACCCAGCCAGAGAAGCAGAACTAACTTGCTGGAACTCGATGGTGTTGTGATGCTGACATCTGCACTTTTCCGTTCTTGGGCAAAGTTAAGATAGAATATTTACTTCCATACATAAGTGTGTGAATATGCTTTTCATAAGTAGATTTCTCTAGAGTATTAGGAAAGAAAAAAAGAATAGGAAAAGTAAGAAAACTAGTCAAAAAGCATGGCAAAACAATGGCCTGGTTTTCGTATTTCTAGGACTGGTATCTCAAGTGTTGAGGCAGAAGAGCCAGAGTGCATAGATGTCATTGTATTGGATTCAGTTAATTAAATTAACACTTTTGGAAGCTAATAGCACTCTTTTTCTCCCTCTCAGCTGTCTTCTGTACTGGAGGCAGAGATGGAAACATCATGGTTTGGGATACCAGATGCAACAAGAAAGGTAAATGAACTTTCATATATGTATGAAAAAAGCTGGGTATCTCATGTAAAAGTACTGCTCAGAGCTACTTGTTGGACTAATGCTTTTGATTACGATATAGGCAAAACTTCAGTAAAAGGGAAGGATTGTCACATAACTACTACTTTGGTACCGTAAAGGAATGGAATAGGTATCTCTTCTATGTATGATGCATTTTTCCACTTTGTAACAGTCTCAGGTTTGCTGCATGATACACATGCTGGCTTGATAATACCCTGTGTGTTGGTAAGGAGATAAGGGGGAACAGAATACATCCCTGTTAGGACAGCACAAAAAACAGATGAGCTGGGAGAGACTGCTTAGGTCAGAGCCATCTGGAGGGATGAAGAAAAGCTGGAAAGGCTTCTGCCAGAGAGGGAAAGAAGGCAAGAACAGCAGAAGCAAAGGAGCTTGTGAGTGCTGGCAGCAACTGAGTATATTGTGGGAAGACCTACTGTAAATGTAAGGGTGAGCTCATTCTGCTCCTCTCTTTCTGTTTCCTGGAGCTTCTCCTTCCCCAGTCAGGTTATGCCCTTATGTTTTTTCCCAGTTTTCTGCTCTGTCAGAGCAGCTTCCTTGCCTGCACTGCCAGAACATGTCTTGATCTTCCATCTGTCCCAGATTCCCTGGCTCTTCCAATGGACAAGTGGGGGAAAAGAGAGACTCCACATGATTGAAGTGGAACGTGTAGGGAAAAAAAAGTAAGAAAGTTGCATTACTCTAGTAAAGCAGTAAGTTTCATAAAGTGAGAAGTAGCAGACAAAAGACTAAATAGAAAATTATAAAATAGAGTAGAAAAGCACTGTGAGTGCAATTCCGCTTGGGATGAGTTGAATGCTCCAGACCAGGTGCATGCTGAAAACCAAACCGGGGGTAATGATTTCTAAAGGCAGCCTGCTCAGTTTTAGTTTCAGTGTCAATGCTACACTGACCTTTGTAATTTTTTGCATTATATATTCCTGGTGCTTACTGTATTCTCACCAGTTTCATATATAACTAACAATTTTTGTTTTCAGAATACATGAATGATTTTAAAGGTTTGTCTCAGCCACCTCTTAGGACTAATTCCAAGTTGATGCCTGTTTTATTAAAGTGACAGGGAAATTGCATGGAAAGTATTAATTGAGATGCCTTTGATTTCTTTCAGATGGATTTTACAGGCAGGTGAAACAAATCAGTGGTGCACACAATGTGGCTGACAAGCAGACTCCTTCCAAACCTAAGAAGAAGAGGCAGAACTTAAGAGGACTTGCTCCCTTGGTGGTAGGTATCCGGGGAACAAACAAAGCATAAACCTCTCTTCTGGGGACACTGTTATGCATAGAAGTCTTCCTAAGTAAACATAGCGAGAAATATGTGGCTTGTATGTGGTAAATGCTTCCATTTATCTTTGCAGAAGTAGGTTTTTGTGTCATGGTCACTTGCTATGGCTAATTTTAGACTTTGTTTAGTTGCCTAACAACCCATGTGCCATCAAAGCCAACTTTGTGCAAATGCTGTGTGAAAATACATCTTTTCTTCCCAGAGAGGAAAGGAATAGCCAGCATTTTGAAGGGGGGGAAATGGCAAGGGTTGTAATATTTATTTTTTTTCTGTGTTTTTCTCCCCCTAATGTGACCTGACAAATTACTGCCTTATTGGAATAAGACCTGGTAATATTTAATCTATTAAACTTTGCGATAAAAGCAGCTCTCTTATCTCTGACCTGAAAGGTATAACCTCAAACTTCTGCCCAGACACTCACTGCTCAGCAGCAATTTCCCTGGTGGGAGTGTTTGAAGGATTGTTGTGTCCTTAATGACATCTGGTATTTCCAGGTTCTCCTGTGTGGCTAGAGGGAGGAGGTTTTCTCAGTATTCACTTGGCCTTCAACTAAGCAGCAAGATCTTGCTGACCTTAAAAGAAAATAAAGTTCTTTTTTTTCTTTTCTTTTTAAGGATTTCCAGCAGAGTGTAACTGTGGTGCTGCTTCAGGACGAGCACACTCTTATCTCTGCAGGAGCTGTTGATGGGTAAGGAGGGAGGATGCTTCCTTGTCTGTGTGCTCTTCTTAGTGGCATAAAAAGATTAGGAGATTTTTTTTCTAAGATCACTCGGTGCACAAGGCTAGAGTTATTGCTAGGTAGAATCAACAGCTACGCTGTCAGTTTGCATTGGCAAAGCTGAATGCTGCTTTACTTCCTTACTGGAGATTGCAGCACTGGACAAATTGTGCATATATGGTAAATGCTCGTTTTGGTGTCCTAGGTATGGGGCAGAATGAGAGCAATTCTTATCTTTCTCTCTCTGTTCTCATGGACT